ATACACACGTCATTTTAATATACACGTTGTTTAAAATACACACATCATTTTTTTATTGCACATACATTTAATGCACAAGAGATACACACATCAATCATTTTTAAACACACAAGTCGTTTTAAAACACACACCTTTAAAACGCCGTTTTTTAAATGCACACATCATTTTAAAACACGCCATGGCCTCCAATACGTACATAATTTTGAATTATTAGTCCGTTTTATTCTAGTATACACAAAATAATAAATTTACATTCCGCGCCCCTTATCCCAGGAACAAATTCAATTGTTATTTATTATTATAAGATATTTTATCTCATAGTTCCGTGTATTAAGGTGGTGTAATGTTCTATGTCTGTTGTTACTATGCAACTAGTAGCTTCGCGGTGAGTGGCTTTCGCGGGTTTCGTGTGGAGTAGGGCTTTGTCTCAGTAACTGGTCCTTTCATTCTTGTTGAGTATTACAGTTTTATATTTCTTTAACAACTGGCACTATTCTGGGAATACCATCCTAGCAGGAGTTCCAAAGTAAGACCCATGCTCTGATAATGCCTCTAGTTTCAAAGACCAATAAATATTACCATGATCTTATTGGTGTTGCAGAGGATAGTTGAATATTGTTTATTGAAATTAATAATCCCCATAAACGTTTTCCAATATAGATAAATTGTAGTACGTAACAAACTGTATAACTCAGTCTTAACAATGAAATAAAGGAATGTATATATTTACGTTATTTATACTTATTTATTATACTTTTATTGCTACTGTACTAATAGAAATACTGTATTTCTAAAGATGTAATAATAATAATAATAATTATTATTATTATTATTATTACTAATGCATTGCAATACAACTAATTCAAATTGAAAGAAATTGCAATATAAAGTATTCATCAGTAATACTTCTCAAGGGCATATTTCGCGGTCAGTGTTATTTACGAAAATATTTGTTTATAATTTTATAAACTTGCTTGGCAATACCCACCCTAATTAGATGTAATGTGTACATATTTTAATAAATGAAATATTGCACAACAGTAATCATTATTTGTCCTTGTTAGAATGATGTGTAACTTCATACGGGAATCCTGATAAAGTCCACAACTTGCGATTTAGCAGTATTAGGGATTGTCAACTTCTCGTGAATTTGATTACCTAACATGTTTAGTTTCATGCGCTGCAAGTTGCAGAGCACGTACCTAAGCGACCCCAGCAAATAACCAAGACGGTTTCGATATTGAAATCAAGAAACTCCGATTTGACACAATCTGGGAAGTTCGAATTACTAAATGAAGTACAAGACGATGAAGCTGAAATATCCAAGAACCAACACATACCAAAAATCTCAAAAGTGAATATTCATGGTGTATTTTAAGTCTAACCGAACCATAAGTTGGAATTCGTTAGTACTCTAAATATCCAAATATATTTTAGTATAAGTAGTAATAAAAAGTGTCCATTTTGTACAATCCTAATTAATTGGATATATTATTAACATTACCATGTGGTAACATGTACGCTTTACATAAACAACAAGCCATGGAAGCACTATTATCACCATAGTCATGATAATGATATTTGTCAAAAAGATGTAATATAATTTCTATTTCATCGCAAAGCCATTCTGTATATACAACAGGAGCATTGAGGCACAGCAAAGTGTCTGTTCAAGCTGAATACGCGGGTGTAAGATAGATAGGTAGTGCCTGCAAAGCCAAACGCCAGTAGTAGTGTCACTGATATGCACTCTGTGTTGGCAAGCGATATCAAACATACATACAACCACAATAAAAGGAAGAACAAGAACAGCAATCTCGGCCATCATCTCTATATAGTTTCAAAATAATAGGTAGTATTGTGCATTGTTGAAATTAAGTGTAAATTTCCATTCTAACAGGAATGCTCACTTTACCACATCAAGCGCTATAGTATCAGTGTTCTGGGGGGTTGATTACAAATATTTGTT